TGTGTGTGTGTGTGTGTGTAATAACAATAATAATTAACGGTTTATTGAAAGAGCATGGCAGCCAAAAGGCCGAAATATACAGTTACATAATTGGGGAATGGGTCACCTGATTGACAAATAATATACACGTAACATAAGTGATACAAATATGATATATAATAACTATGTGGGAAGAAGGTCATACTACAGGGCATTTCAACTTAGTGACAGTGCAAAAGGGTTAGAGTGACTGGGTGTGGATACACTGGTTGATTACGAGTTATTAGTAATTTTCACACTGGTTGGGAGAGGGCTGTTCTTATTGTGATCAGTATGTGCTCGTATGGGCTGGATGCGTTTGTGGTGTTCAACGGCAATTCGCTGAAATGGGATTTCGGGTGGTAGTAGGAACAGGTGTCGAGGATAGTGTAGAAGCTTCTCACCAAATTTGCAGATGAGGTCTTGGTGATGCTCAGAGAGAGCCGAGAGAGTCAGTGTGTTGAGCGCTTCTTGATATGTTGAGTAGGAAGGGTAGAGAATAATTTTGCATGCCCTCTTTTGCACTTTTTCTAGGTGCTTACATTGTGTGGCATTTAAGGAGGAAGACCAGGCAGGGGTAGCGTAGGTGAGCTTGGGAAGTATGATTGTTCAGTAAACACTGAGGAACTCGGGCGCACGAACTCCGTGGGACTTGAGTCGGCGGAGGAGGTAGAGACAGAAACTGGAGGATTTGACATCTTCTCTGACGTGTGCTTTCCAATTTTGTTTGTTATCTATAGTGACGGCGAGGAGCTTAGTGGACTCTACAACCTGGAGTGTGTTGGGACCTGAAGTAATGGAAGGGGGTGGGACAACGTCGGAGGAGAGGTTGATGTGCATAACCATGGTTGATGGTGACGTGGTTGTTGGTGGCCCAATTTTGGAGACTGCTCAATAAATCGTGGAGGGCGGTGTAATCGGAATCCGAGTTGTTGACTCTGATTCCAATAGTGGAGTAGTCGACATATTTCCAACGAGCAAGGGTTTCTCTTAGGGCATCATTGATATGCATAAGGAAGCAGAGCGGTCCTATCTTGGTGCCTTGGGGAACGCCACAGGCGAGTGACTGAAAAGTGGGGACAGCCCCTCGGAAGCGTATGGCATCGCGTCGATTACTAAGGAAGTCTGTAAGCCATGGATTAAGACTTCTTCGAAACCTGAAGTCGATAGCTTTGTTGATGATTAATTTGTGGTAGACTAGGTCAAATGCTTTGGTTAAGTCAATAAAGGTGACAGCCACAGACGTTTTTCTTTTTCCAGATGGCTGTATATGTAGTCGAGAAAGCTGACAAGACAGTGAATGGTGGAGGAAGTTTTCATATTGACAAAATGCTGAGTATCTATGGCGCTTGCAGTATCAGGATAAGCCAAGACAAACACGAAACTTTCACAGATTAAGTTAGATATTGGGGTGAGGGTAATGGGTCATAGCTCATTTAGGGATTGTGAGCAGGTTGACTTGGGCACTGGTGACATATATGAGGTTTTCCAGTCAGCTGGAGCTCTTGCTTGGCTAAGGGAATCATTGTTGATGGAGACAGTTCCGGGGAGAACTCAGTGTAGAGTTTCATTGGGAAGTCAATAGGGGTGGTGGAGCGCTTTAATTTCATCTTATCCAGACGTTTTGCTACTACGAATTCTTCTACTAAGTCAGTAGAAGAGCGTCTGGCTTATAGTTGCGAAATAGTTGTTTGATTGCTCAGCTGCGTCACATTTCGTGAGGTGACTAAGGAAGGGGAGGGGGTGTGTCTTATTGTTTAGTCCACAGACTTGTTTAAGTTTACCATACCACTAACTGATGTTTGTGTGCTTCAGGTGTTGCAATTTGGTTGGGTATTGAGACTTCTTTGCATTACGTATTTCGCGGATGACTTGGTTGAGAAGAGACCTGCATCGGTTGCGGTCATGAGATGAACGGCGCTGTCTCTCTGTGGCATAAGTCTTCTTATCCGAGGTGTGATCCAGGGCAAGTCAGCTTGGTATGATCTGACGGACTTCTCGGGGAAGAAGTGGTGGTGAGCTTCCGTGGTGATGTTGGTATAATTTATCCATTTGGTGTCCACGTCATCCACACGAAGTACTTCAGTCCAGGGGTGGTGAGCTATCCGCTGCCCGAAGAGACGCACTGCAAAGACAGTAATCGGCCTGTAGGTCTTGATGTAGGGTCTCTGCACTTAGCTGGTAGTGGCAGCTGGAGACCAGAGCACTGATAGGTGTATGGTACACCCAGGAGGAGGCATTGGTACTGGTTGGTACTGGTCGGCTAAGTCAGTTAAGATAAGGTCAAGGGTATTTTGACAGTGTGTGTGTGAATTGAGTTGAAACAGTTTAGCCAGAAAAATGCAGATACAGAGTTTATAATAATAACAGTGTCAATTTTGTTATAACTCCTGCATAATACTAGCTTGGCACATGGGTACCTAACTCTGAGATGGTCTGAGGCGGTAATGAGGTGATTGATAAGAGTGTCTCTGGTGGGTGAGCGAGGTGGATGGTATTCAAGACAGTAAATGATAGAAGCAGTCTGGCGCGAGTGTCACGTGGCACGACACGTACCCATAATACTTCCACATCAGCTGGGACTAAAACATCTAGGCGTGGCGGGCGTAGTTCATCTTGAGAGAAGTTAAGTTAAGTTTAACAAATTTACTGACAAAGCTTGTAGTACAGTTTGCCTATTCTGAGTAATTCAGTCAGGTCTTGACACTGAGGGTGGTATCACTTCTCACTGCCGCGCAGGACCGAGGTTCATACACAAAGAAATACAACATATTGATTTGCAGCTATATATATATAGAAGTCAGATTCATGTGGGCAATGTCACTGTTCACTGCCATGCAGGACAGAGGTTCGTACACAAAGAAATACATCATATTGATTAGCAGTATATGTACTGTAGGTCAGTGGTTCACATACATTGGACGCCATATTCTAATTGAAGACTAATCAGTGTGGGCTAGCAAATTTGGGATAAACAGCAATAATGTCCTCAAGCACACCTGATTCAATGTAGTAATTAAAAAGTTCAAGATACAATAAGTCAGGTGGCCTGATGTCTTTGACAGTGTCACAATCAATAATATAGTATTCAGGTGTATGCTTTAAAGGTTTATCACAAAGAGAGAAGAGAGCAACGCCCTCTCCACGTCCACATGAGCGAAGGTGATGAAAGAGTTGATATCCCTCAATGTGGCACGTTTCAGGAATAATTTGCCAAGCTTCACACACGGCAACGACGTTGGCAGGGAATGATTGGACTGTGGTTACCAGTTCGTCAAATTTAGTAGCTAAGGAAGTGAAGTTGGAGAGCAGTAAAGAGGGGAGACCGTACCATATTCGAGGAACTTCAGTGTATTGGTACGGTCTGTCAGGGGTAGGTTTCTCTGGTTTCCTAGTGGAGGTAATGATCCTAATGGGCTTTTGTTTATGATGGCGCTTTGAGGGCCACTGACATTGGTAGACATCTGTTAATATTTGTCTAGTCGTAAACACCGCAAGTCCTTGTCTCGGGTACTTAAGGGGTCGCCGACACAGTACCCACTGTAAATGTAAACACCGCGGTGGTCCTTGTCACTGGCACTTTGAGGGTGATCGACTAAGTGCCCACGGTCTGGTATTACAATGCTGCGTTTTTCCTTGTAATACACTATCGAATCAATGTTTGGTAACCAATCATTGCAATGATCACTTGAATGCTTTGCTGATAAATCCCGGTGTAGTGAGGTTGGTAGGAAGGTGGGATATAACAGGGGAGGGGTCAGGGCCAACCTCAAGGCACTTGAAAACTTTCACCAGCGTAGTTTACGTTCCATCCTCTGAGTTCTCTGGGAAGACAAGAGGACAAACGCCAGTGTTCTCGCTGACACCAACTGTAAAAGCATCGAGGCTACCATTATCCATGAACAACTACATTGGGCTGGCCATGTTACCCGCATGGACGACAGTAGACTGCCAATGCAGCTACTTTACAGTCACCAAACGAATAGTAAATGTAACCCTGGCGGGCAACTGAAAAGGTATAAGGATAGTCTTAAGACAAACCTGAAAAAGTGTCAAACCAACCCCATCACCTGGGAGACGATTACTCCACACCGTAACGCTTGGATGATCACCACAAGAGGTGTCAATACCTTCGAATTAACCCGACTGCTAACTGAGGCAGACAAGCGCCAGCGCCGGAAAGACGCTGCCGCCGCCCCTCCTGCACTAGATGAAGCCATCCACATGTGCAACTTCTGTGAACGATGGTGCCGGTCCCGTATCGGCCTCTTTAGTCACATTAAAACTCACCAACCTAGGTGACATCCCTAATAACTCATATCATTGTATCATAGCTGGATGATCGTCATACTCGATTCCGAGTGACAGCAAAGTAGTAGTAGTAGTAGTAGTAGTAGTAGTAGTAGTAGTAGTAGTAGTAGTAGTAGTGTGTGTGTGTGTGTGTCTGTCTGTCTGTCTGTCGGTCTGTCTGTTTTTAAGATTGTTGGTAACTAAAGGTTAGTGTTGTCTGTATATGTTACGCTCGTTATCATTTACCACTATAAACACAAACAATATTTTGATTGACGTGTTCAATTGTTGTCAGCAGTGTTTTGTGTTTTCACGTGATCTGCTTCATTTTTTTATGTGTTTATGTGTTCTGGGTTAGTTTTTTTGTTCATGTGATCTGCTTCATTGTTTTGTATGTTCACCTGATCTGCTTTAGTCAGTAAACGGAGCATCACAAACAACGAGACGCTATGTTCGAATGTTATATTTTGAGGTTGTGTTGTGTTGTTTTTGTTGTGTTGTGTTGTGTTGTTTTTGTTGTGTTGAGTTGTTTTTTTGTTGTGTTGTGTTGTGCAGTTTTATGTTGTGTTGTGTTGTGTTGTGTCGTCATACGTTGGTAAACCTTCTGTTATTATTGTTATATTCTGTTATATAATTATGTAATACTTAACATCCATTATATTTTTAAAATATTTTTTCTTCTTAGGTGATCAGAAAGATAAGACAATGTTGTGTTTATGAAGAAAATCCGTAAGATGTGTAACTTAAGTGAAGATATTATTTTTCTAGAGTAATGATGATAGTGGCAAGTGATATTGTACGAAAAATAGTGAGTTTGTTGTGTTGTGAGTAGTGGTGTGGTGCTCAGAGTACAGCTGGCACCCAGATCACCACAACCTATGTTGGCACCCAGTGGGTCACCAAGACTCATGCTGGTGTTGAGAGGGCCACTCAGACTCATGCTGGAACCTATGGGGTAATACATGATACTTGAGTCCCTCTGACGTTTAAGGTGATCATAGTAAAGTTGCCACAACAAAGGTAGTTATACCGTTAACAAAACTGAGAGTGAGAACACCATGGATGGAGGTGGTGGATGTTCATCGCCTTGCCACAGCTCGCCCAGGAGAAGGAAGAAATCACCTTTGTCTTCTTCCTCTTCATCACACACGTCGTCCTCGTCTTCATGGAGTCATGAGGAGGGCTACGAGGCTGAGGACCCGCCGCCCACTTGGCTGTACATGACGGTGTGGGTGGCAGGGGTCCTCGTCTACCTCAATGGGCTGACGGGCGACTTTGTGCACGATGACGTCAGCGCCATCAAAACAAACCCAGACGTGGTGGGAACTAACCCGCTGTCTCATGTGTTCTTCAACGACTACTGGGGCAAACCCATGTCTGATCCTCTCTCTCACAAGTCTTACCGCCCCTTCGTCATCCTAACTTTCAGGTAAGTTCCCTTCCTCATTATACATTAAACTATTCACCTTCACAGGAGTATTGAGTTTATGAATACATTTTATGACTTTCTGTATGTTGTCTCCCTCAAGTACCGTAAATAATATTTTTCATATCTTCTTACTACACACGAAGTACATAAAGCTGTTTCAATGATTAGTGTACTTAGAGAAGGCAATGAAAATATAAAATAGTTTTCCGGAAAATTAGACTCACAAAGACATCAAAGTTAAAAAAAAAGTTAATAAGTAAAAAATCTACAGTAGTCATTCAGCAGAATAATTTTTAATTTCAAGTTTTCATCGGTGAGAGATTAAACGATTTCTGAGAATATTGACTATGCCCGCACGGTATGGGTGGAGTCTATATATCTGTGTTGTCTGTCTGTCCATGTAGCCTACTGATGGACACTAAAGATTCCATCTATCTATAAGGTACAAGAGCATTACTGTACTTAGTGAAGTGTTTTGTGTTGTTCCTGACTTTTGTGTATCACATTACCGAGGGCATGAAGGCCACAGTCTGTTTAAGGGCACGGGCAATTTTCTTATTTATTATTATGATCATGCTTCTTCTTCAGTAGTATTGGTAGAAGAGAACATGTGGAGGAGGCTTGAGTCCATCGAAGTGTGAAGTTATACACAGCTGATGGTGTGGGTGACACACACACACACACACACACACACACACACACACACACACACACACACGCTCACAAACAAACACACACGCACACACATAAGCACGCACACTTTCACACGTAAATACACACACACACACATAAAACACACACACACACATACACACACACATACACACAAACAAACACACACGCACACACATAAGCACGCACACTTTCACACGTAAACATACACACACACACACACACATACACACACACACGCACACACATAAGCACGCACACTTTCACACGTAAATACACACACACACGCATAAAAACACACACACACACACACATACACACAAATACGCACACACATAAGCACGCACACTTTTACACGTAAATACACACACACACACACACACACACACAAACACACACACACACATAAACACACACACACACATATACACACACACATACACACAAACAAACACACACGCACACACATAAGCACGCACACTTTCACACGTAAATACACACACACACACACACACACACACACACATTACCCTGCCTCGTTTACTAAGCGATAGTCAAAATACAAGATGAGTCGTCAGATGATTAACCTTTCACAGGCTTTGATTAGGTTGTTCAATATTAGCTAAACATTACCTATATGCATTACCAGTGAGTCAACCTCATGCTTATACCGGCACAAAGGAAGATTAATTAAGACAACAACTCTAAGACATTTTTCTTAGTACAGTACAAACATAACACGACGAGGATGACCTTATATTGGACGAGAGGGAGGAAGGAGACTGTTGCTTCAGTATTGGTTTCAGCCGTGGTATTCCCTCCTTCTGAATTATTTGGCGACGGTTACAGCTGGCGAGGGTTCCAGCTGCCAGCTGTTCTACCACTGGCTATTAATGAATAACAAACGTCTTTGACCCTCAGTAACTACTGTTCTACCTGACCCTCTAACATTGTATTTTCCCACGGCCAGCCGCGTACGCCTCTAAGTAACAGTCAACAAAGCGTCACCAGTAACGATGGTCTTATGACATAGATGTAAACAATGAGACAGATACAGCAGTATCTTCTTGCTCCAACAAACTGAGCTTAACCCTTAGCCGCGATGCAGCAAGTGCTGAGCAGCAACAGCAACATTGCTACTTTCCTCTACGTGTCATCACAATACTGTGTACAGTGGCCGTAGCTACGGGAGGCACTTGTGAGCCACGATTAAGAACTATCACTGATGTCAGGTGAATTGCCAGGGTGGTGTCAAGGATTATGGCAACATTCTCTCACCACCTGGAAGACTCACAGGGAGATTCAGCACCGCTCTATTAACTGCCGACTACTGCTACTGTGGCGAGAATAACATGGCTGTCAACATCTACACATGAGGTTATCTTTGATCACTTATAAAACTCATCAAGACATATAGCAAAGATCTGGCCGCGCTTGATGCCGCTAGACACTTGAAGACACTGTACTGACACTGTAGTCTCACACTAATGTTCCTCGTCGCGTCTGTGATGACTTATATAATCTCAATACGAGGAATAATAAGATCAAACAAGTTAATCTACTTCGTGTTTATGTAAATGCCAAGTTACACCCGGTAAGATTTATCGGAGCACCTGAATATTAAGCAACCGACTTATTTCACCTTAAGAATAACCTAACCTAACTAAACGTAACGTAACTTAACCAAACCTAACACAACCCCCGCCCACTCCCCCACCTCAGGTAGTGTTAGGCTATTTAATCATTGGGTGAAATAAGCTGGAGGGAGGGGGGCGGGGCAATCGTAATTAATTGAAATACCTGGGAAAGAAAGGTCACGGGATGGATTATTCCCATAAGAAGAGTGTTGACCCATGGAAGATGTTCACACATTACCCCAGTAATAATAAAGATTACCTGACACGCCTACACATCTGGACGACTTAATAACAACTGTCCCTGAGTGCTACTATAGCACCTAACCTAACCTAACCTAACCTAACCTAACCTATCTTGTAGACCGCACGCTATAGTAGCACTTGTTCCTCTCTGTCTGTCAGGTTCACCTCATCTTGAGAAGATTTATATCCGGTGTGATTAGTTTTTGATTCTGGTTGATGGTATCTACATTATCTCTTGTCTTGGGCTAGTGCCCGAGACAACAGCGTTCAGCGTGTGGGTGAGCTGTGCATTGCACCTGAGTGATATTCAAAGCCAATTGTAATTCAACCGTTAGGGCTATATATTGCACTTTGGACTTCACTTTCTGAGCTTCATGTTACAAGAACGCATGTGCAAATATGACGCACCTGAGTCGTCAACATCACTGAAACGCTTACTCGATTTCACCTTCAAGGCAAGCCAACGCCAGCGACTGCTTTCGAAGACGCCAATTACATACAGTAAATTCAACGCAGCATAACATAAATATGCCTAGGAAGATGTAACGCAGCATGGTCTTCAACGTGAACACGAAAACAAAAGCCATAGCGAATTCACCGCGAAATCAACAGTCTGATATTGCAAGTACCAGTAACTGCCAAATTAAATACAAAGTTATGCGTAAAGTTTCGATAGTCACAGAAAAAGGATAAAATAAAAATAAAAAGTTGTAACAATAAGAAGGGAAGTGAACGATACGGAGATGAAGCCATGAAGTACAGCGATAAGTGAAGGCTGTTGAAATAACGCTATAAATAATTGAATGAACGATGTCAATTGAAAATAATCATATGTGATTATTCTAATATTATTTATTATAAAATCAAGTTTGTATCGTGGGTTCGTATTTTATGTATATTTTATGTACTGTTTATATTAATGTCATTTCGTGAATATTTTTATATCGCGTAAAATAGTAAATAAGTTTTCCATTATTTACTGTGATTATATAATGACTAAATTATCTGGATATTGGCTCTCACATTATAACATTGATAACTGAATAATTAGTTAATAATTTAATGAATAATGAGTCATTAATAATCGAACATATAATTAAGAAAAATGACATTCAATGATTAAATGAGAAATTACTAAAGGTAATTACATGAATAATTCAGTGAAGAATTTAATGGCCATATGATGATTGGACGAGAGAATCAGGACACAGTGATTGGTAATAATGATCATAGCGACGAGGCTCTCAGAGAATTGGTCACTCATGTACAGCTCAGCGTGAGTTACTTGAGTGACACCACACCACCTGGTAACACCATTATGGTGCAGTATGAATGAGTGAGTGACAGTGACTGTTGTTTCCACACGTGGTAGTACACTTAGTGAGGGATTTGTACACCTGGTAAAGGTCTTGTACACTTGGTGGGAGAGTTGTACAGCTGGTGAGGGAATTGTACATCTAATGGGAGAGTTGTAAACCTAGTGGGACAGTTGCATACCTATTGAGGAAGCTGTATACCTAGTGGGACAGTTGTACACCTGGTAGGACAGTTTTACAACTGCTGGGACAGCTGTACAGTTGGTGACTCGTCCGTAGATGTTGACATGAAGGACCTCACATGGTCATGTAGACACCAGGTGGTTTAATGTTTACGTGATATATAAGTGACTCGCCCTCGGGTGTTGACATAAGGAGCTCACGTGATCATAGAGACATCGGGTGGTTTGGTGTTCATGTGGTGTATTGACTCGTCCATAGATGTTGATATGAAGGACCTCACGTGGTCAAAGAGACACCGGGTGGTGCTCACAATACCTCAGTCTCTGCTAGGTGGTGTTGTGTTATCTGATGGTCAGGTGTAAAGCCGACCCACGGTTGTTCCCAGGGTGGATTGATTAACACCGCCTGATCAGAAGATAGTGGTCGGTTCCCAGAGGTGCATATCTCACTGGTGAGACACGGTTCTCGCTGGTACTGTCTCGTGCTGAATTCACTGGCTTAAACACTGTTAATCACTGTTCAACACTGATCCCACTTCTTTCTGAAACGAATTTTTACTTTTGGCGGGATTATGTTGATATTCCTGTGGTGAGGATGGGTGGAGGAGGACTTATGAATGGGCCGGAACATTGGCCGGGGGCAGCTGCCGCAGCAGGAGTAACAGCCCTGTAGGTCTTGACCCTCCGGTGATCAAGGATGTGTGTGTGTGTGTGTGTGTGTGTGTGTGTGTATGTGTGTGTGTGTGTGTGTGTGTGTGTGTGTGTGTGTGTGTATGTGTTTGTGTCAGCGCGGGAAAGTACACTACCAATCACTGCTCAAGCGAAACACCGATGTGGATGTCCTGACTACCAACTGTAGAGCGTTTTTTCTCAACCTAGAAAGAATGCCCCGCCCCCTCATCAAGAGTTACAGCTGATTGGCTGTTGCAAACCTGTCCCATTTTGTCCTGAGTAATGACGTTTTCAGTTGCCCGCCAGTGATACGTTTACTATTCGTTAGGTGACTGTAAAGTAGCTGCATCGGCAGTCTACTGTCGTCCATGCGGGTAACATGGCCAGTCCAACGTGGCTGTTTATGGATAATGGTAACCTCGATCCTTCTACAGTTGGTGTCAGCGAGAATACTGGCATTTGTTCTCTTGTCTTGCCAGTGAACTCAGAGGATGGAACATAGACTAAGTTGGAGAAAGTTTTCAAGTGCTTTGAGGTGCCTCCTGTATGTGACCTATGTCTCGCTGCCATATAGCAGGGTGGGGAGGTGTACTGTTCTATATACGCGCAGCTTTGTAGAAAATTTATGCTCCCCACAGATTAAGACAGAGGTACACAGTCAGCCAAAGGCTTGAGAATCACATCTGATCCGATGGGTAACATTAACCTGGATGGATGGTGGTGTGGCTGAACCAGGGGCTACATACCGAATTTCAGTGATGGAAGCGGCAGACATCCTCGTTTCCTCTTGGAGTCGTCTTGTATTAAAAAGTCCCTTCATCCGGCACTGAATGTCTACCTCATTGGCTCAATTGGCACTGGCACGAGTTAGGAAAGCAGCCAAGGAAATGGAAATGAGAGTTAGTGCAAGTACACATCTTTGTTTTACCTCCGTTTGGATAGGAAGAACTCAGACTGGGGGCCATTGTGCAGGACATTACCGTTTATGCCATCATGGAGTTCCCTCTTGATGGTGATAAATTTTGGTGGGTAACCAAGACGAATGAGGTTCCGCCAGAGGGCTTCATTATTGACCAAGTCGTTGGCCTTAGTAAGGTCGACGCTGTTCTCTGGACCCTTCCTATATCTGAAGGGCAGGAAAGATTATGTCAGTGGTGCTATGTGATGGTCTAAATCCACATTGAAAGTCTGGGATGAAGTTTTCCGCCTCAGAATATAGTCTGTTTAGGGGGACTTGAGTAATAATCTTACCAGCTATGGACACCAGCGAGATCCCGCGTTAGTTGTCACAGTCTGACGGGTATCCTTTGTTCTAATAAGTTTTAAAGATGGAGCATTTTTTAAGATCTTAGGAGATTTCCACAGCATATAAGCATAGCTTTTCCTGCTTTATACACCTCGGCTGCTATTGCATCAAGCCTTGTGGCTGTGTTTTTTTCATCAGCTTGGTGGCAGTAGCTAGCTATCTCATCCAGGATGGAGAATAGCTGAGCTGGGTCAGCTTTGGGTGCTGAGAGACCTGCTGGGTAGTTATGACATCTATATCAGTGTTTCGGTTGAGCAGGTAATGGTACTGCTTTTTTCCAGCGCTGTCGAACGCCTTCTTTGTCTTTAATTAGGAATTTTCCGTCGGAAAACCGGAAGGGGGGGGGCACACTATGAGTAATTGGGTCCTACATTCTTTTATTGCAATTGAAAAATTAATGCATCCAGTATTGGGGCGTATACACTGATGAAGAAGACATGACGTGAGTAATTCAGTGGGATTGGGAGCGCCATGAGGTGCTCGTTAACCCCAATAAGCATTTCAGTTCGCCATTGTTGGATAGACTTGCGAATGGCAGCAGCAGCAACCGGAACACACTATTGGATGGTATGTCGGTGTTATCCTATTTCCAATAGAATAATAGGGTTGATATTAACAACATGTAAGGGTGGACTTAACTATTTAATAATAAAAAAAACAGCACTGGTATGCCACATGGCAGCACTACCACGCCACACGGCAGCACTTCCACGACGCATGGCCACACTCCCATGACGCACGGACGTACTCCCACAGTACACGGATCACGGCAGTATTCCCACAGCACACGGCTCACGGCAGTAATCCAACAGTACACGGCTCACGGTAGGAATCCCACAGCACACAGCTCACGGCAGGATTCACACAGCACACGGACTACGGCAGGATTCCCACAGCACGCGGCTCACGGCAGGACTCCCACAGCACACGGCATATGGCAGGATTCCCACAGCACATGGCTCACGGCAGTACTCCCACAGCATACGGTTCACGGCAGGCGGCCAGATTACCCTCATCACACCACCTCGTAGAGCGGTACCGCTCTTGCCTCGCAAGCAAGATGTCACGGGTTCGATTCCCGGGCCGGCGGAAATTGTTTGGACACTCTTCCTAGTCCCCTTGATCCCTGTTCACCTAGCAGCAAGGTAGGTACCTGCTGTAAATCGAGAATTGCGAGTTCGTATTCAGGGACAAGTTGTTGGAGCTTCCAATAACTTGCTTAGACATAAACCATTGACTCTTCAGGCTTCTACACCCTTGACTCTTCAGGCTTCTACGCCCTTAACTCATGAGACATAAGGCAAGCATGAACTTATCATGCTTCCCTGTTAGACGCTGTAAACGCTTTTGCGCTTCACCTTACACAAGGATGTAGGGGGGGGGGGGTTGCCCCCCCAAAAAATAGATAAATTAAAACCTCGTAGTCCCGTCTCGTTGGCCAGTCCTGCTATGACGCGCTGTGACGTTGTTTGACGTCAGTAATTCCTGGTTGAACCAGCCCAATAAGTCCTTAACCAGCTGATCCACAGTCATGGTATAACATTCGCCCCTGCTAATATAAATTTTTCTTTAGGAAAGGAAAATTGCACAATTCTATGGGCCCAGTTTCCGACGTTGGTTCATCTACTGATTATCTGTGTCCATATCCCTTACCATTAGTCTAGAAAGAAGTGTAGCTCCGACATTTACATTTCCTTTTATGTATCTAATCGTGAAATTGAATTGTTGGAGATATAACGCCCACCGTGTTAATTTTGCATTTGAGTTTCTAGATGTGCGGAGGCTTGTTAAGGGCATGTGATCTATTTCTAAGGAAAAATTTTCACCATATATATAAAAATAATATTTCTTCATATCTTCCACTACGGCTAGTAATTCTTCTCTGCGGGCTTTAGTTTTCTGCTACGGTATGCCACAGGATATACCTCACCCTCGTTTTTCTTGTAGAAGTACAGCTCCGATCACGTCCAGAGAAACGTCTGTTCTGAGAATGAAAGGTTTCTCAAAATTAGGCAACTGAAGAAATGGTTGTTTACATAGTAGATTTTTCGAGGTGTTGAATGAATCTTCGTGGTGAGATGTCCACTGGAATTTGTTTGGTGCATGTTTTTGTAAAAAGTTCGTAGAGTGGTAGCGCGATCACTGCGAAGTTTGGGATGAAATCCTTGTAGTATCCGGCAAGGCCCAGGAAGGATCTTACTTGCTTTTTCGTGATGGGCCTCTAAGCGTCCTGAACCTTCTTGATCTTGTCTCGCTGGCAACTGCATCTACCTCCTCCTACAGAGTGCCCCAAAAATTGAGCTTGAACTCGGCCGATCTCGCATTTGCTGGGCTTAACGATAAGGTTTAATTCTTGAAGCCTCTGAAAAACTTGTGCAAGGATAATGATATGCTCTCTAATTGTGGCAGTGTGACTGAGGATATCATCCTCGAAGATTTCCAGTCCGCGAACATTGTGCAGGACCTTCCGTATTGCTCTGTTAAAAACAGCAGGACTGTTAACAAGGCCAAAAGGGGGAACTTTATTCTGGTATAACCCATTAGGAGTGCTGAAAGCTGTAATTGGTCAGGCTGTCTGGATGAAGAGGGATTTGGAAAAAAAGACCTTTTGTTAGATCTAATTTGGAGAATACCTTTGAGCCGGATAGTCTGGAGAATATAACCCTCTGGTCACACATGGGCTCTGTATCCGCCTTGGTGATAGCATTCACCCGCCGGTAATCACCGCAAATTCTCATACCTCCATCTTTCTTCTGGACTACTACGAGGGGACTGCAATACAATGATGAGGACTTTTCAATTATGCCTGCTGCTTCCAACTGTCAAATTTCCTGCTTGACCGGCTCCACCAGTCTCTGAG